AAGCTCTTAAAGAACCCATCAGCTTGGTCTGTGGTGGAATTAGCTTCTTCTGTGCTGCTTTGTATGGAGTCTCATGGCAGTTTGATCCATGCTGCAAATATCAAGTTGAACATGACACTAAGAAGTTGGCAAAATTGCCACTTGGAAGCCTCACATCCTCATCGCCAATTGTTCTTGTCAGAAAAGATGATAAATATCGCAAAAGACTTCAGAACTTGGTAGCTGGCTCAGCTTTCATTTACTGCAGCTGGAAGGTTTATGTGTGGTATTTTGGTTGATGTGGCCTATTTCTCGTGTTCCTGTGTGCGAATCAAACATTGGAAACCTTGGATAAACACATAACAAACAGTGTTGCTAAGGTCAGGACATGTTACAGGAGCCAATCAGGCCATCACTATGGTTGAATGTGGGGATTTATTGAACCAAGATTATTTTATAAGGCAGTGTATCTCGAATTCAATAAGTTATTTAACATCTGTGTCATCCTTCAACAAGATAGAAACATTACATTTTTTGCTCACCTTTTCACTTCCAATCTAAGCCTTGATCTCTTTTGCCTAGTCGAAATAGTTTACAGCTGTGGCAAAGATAACCAGAGAAGCATGCAGCAAAGGACTAAACATGTGTGGATTTTATTTAATTTTATTATGCCCAAGTGTCAAGTAGGCAATTACTGGTCTGCACTTACACATAAAAGATCTGTTGTGGCTACTTACTGGTACATATGAAAGAAGACTGTACAATCCTAGCGCAAGGAGCATCTTAGAATCACCTTATTTAATATGTAAAAAGCCAGTTTCCAAGCCAAAGTTTAGAACCACAGTCAAACCATTTTTACTTCAATCTAATAGTGGCTGAAGTAGAAATTCACAAAAATTTCCAATTTTCTCCGTGTGAAAAGCCCAAGAAATGTAACTAAACTTTACTTTGCAAAAGTTTTTCCGAAAAAGTTTTGAGTGGATACACCATAGGATTTTACTCACAGATTCAAGTTAGAATGACAAATCATTTCACAAGAACTTGATCTAGGAGTGAAAGGGTTTATTAAAATCATTGCAATGTAATCATCTGTTAGCTTACATTTACTGGAGAAACAGAAATGACTCACTTTCATGTTTCAAGTACATATTGATGAGCCAGGACTGTTCATTAAGAATTTCAGGGAGAATATGTTTTAAAAACCAGGGTTGGTACAGAGTCTTGAATTCTTGAAAAAGTCTTGAAATTTGCCTAGACCTGGATAAATCTGGAAATTGAGAGATAAAGTCTGAAAAAAAAATTGTGATAAGTAGTGAGTTTTTCTTTCAAAGCTACAACAAGTGCTTTTTAAGGGAACTAATGTTCTTGTTTTTGTCAAATCTTATTCAATCTCGCCCACAGGTTTGCAGCAAACCATGAAAAAAAAGCTTTGTTCCTGTGTTGTTTTTAAGGTCTCTATTGATCACTGACCTATTTGATAACCTTGAGTCTGGAAAAAGGAATTATTGTTTGAAAAAAAGTCTGGAAAAAGTCTTGAATTCTGGATCCAAAAATCTGTGCAAACCCTGTAAAATCAATCACTTGTTTCACTCATCTAATTGAACAGTAATAAATTATTATGAGAATAAACTCAGTGGCGCAGTAAAATCAAAATGCACACACACACAAAAAAAACAACACTTTTTAAGAAGACGGATTTCAAATTCAGCAGTATCCATCATCAGTTCAAGGATGACTACAAAATAAATATAATCAAGATATAATTGCCACATTGCCACTATGTCTTTAAGGTTCTAGAACTGACGATGGATACTGTATCCAAACTATGTCTTCAAAATTTTGATGTTGTTTCATATACTTTCTTTGAGTCAAGATAAACACAGTAGAACCTCCATGTATGACCACTGCTCATACGCAATCACCTCCCATGTGACTGCCAATGATAAACCACCATAATTTTCTGGTCAATGTCCTATAGTTAGAACCTCCCGTACCATACAACCACCTCTCGTAAGCATGCAACCACAATCACTTTTTGGGATGACAGTTTTGTATTTTTCAGTGTTTTTAACCTCTTGTTAGCGACCATGGTCTGATCTGATATAATAGCTCATAATAACAATATTATTCTTTGCTACTCAGAGTCTTTGATTAACATTAATTTAGTTCCCACATGGAAACCACATACTGGTAATAATAACTTTAAAATTACTGACAACAACTTTTTAGCCTGGGCCACAGATGAAAGAAAACTATGGTTAAGGTTGTCTGTTAAACATTGCCAAAATCCTTGTTCTGGGCCCTTGACCTGTGTAGTAGGATTTGAATATGCACCATGATTGGCCTGTTAAAAAAGCCATTATCAAATTGCCAATCAGGATGAAAGGAAATTTGAAACGCACCTCTGGTAATTCGTTGAATCTGTCAGGGGCCCAGAACAAAGATCTTGGCTCTGCTTCGCAGACGTTACTATAAAGTACACATAGACGTATTCGAAACCTTTACTCAGAAATAACCCATGGTTTGATTCTCGTAAGTGACTGCCCTCCCCCCCACCACGCCCACAAGGGACCTCTAAACCTTTGTATTAAGGGTGGTCGCTTACAGAGGTTTAGCTGTATATCAACATTATGCATGCTAGTCATTATTTATCAGAGTCACAGACTGAGGGCACTTAACAGAAGTTGGGACTGGCTAGTCGAACGGGGTGTTTTACTGGATTTATAAAGCCAGCAGAGTCAAGAGTTGGGCAGGACATGATCACCAATAGTTTTATTGTCCTTGGAAGTGGAAAGGTAAAGAAAGAAATTTAGTAAGATGAGAAAAACACTCTTCAAGATCAGCAGGATTCAGAAGAGGTACCCTTCCTCATCTTGAAAATTATGATGCCAATCAACAGAATCAAAAACTTACATAATATTTACAAAAAAATTTCATGAACATTGGTGTTTTATTTTATCTTGCAAGAATTCACGGGTTAATAATAAACAATCACTTGGGTTTTTTTAAAAAAGTTTGTAGCTTGCACAACAGAGTTGAATGATATTACATGTAGCATTGTATGGAGTGTCACATGCTAAATAGTTTACTGAAAATGATTTTAAGAATTTGTAAATAAAAAATGATAACGCTTTTATAATTCTTATTTCCGGAGAGTCTCTTCTTGATAGCTTTGGCCGCATCTTTGGGCCTGCATATAATAACATACCAACACTTAAAAGTACTTATACCACATTTTGATAATTATGGTTATGGAAATTGAAGTTCTGGAACGCAGATCGAATCATAAAAATGAACGGCACATAAGCTTAGTTACAAAGCTGAAACTTGGTTCAACAAATACAAAATAAAACTCACCCTTCGTCGGTTTCGTTTATAACGTCGCAAATTTCAATGTTGGCGGCCCAGTCTTCTGATGGCAAATTCCCATCAGTAGCTTTCTCTAAAAGAATGACAGATCGATCACGGGAATTATCAAAATGACCTTGCAAGGAACTATTTCAACATGGCATGAGTGCGAGCCTAGGTTAACAAGTCGTAAACAGCAAATTAAAACTTTGCAAATAGATAGAGACACGGTTAAGAAGAGGTTAAAAAAGCAAATTATTATCACAAAATACCTATTCTTTGCCCAACTGGTGAGGAGAAAGGGTTTGCTCCAAAAAGGGAAGCCATCTTGGAATAGCTTTCAAGAATGACGTCATCGCCGTTTATAGCAAGCCTCGATTTGGATAACTTTTCCCAGTCTTTTCCCATCCAAATTTGGCGCGTTGTCCCAGTGGCACTCAAAATGGCGGACGAAATGAGGTAATATTTGGTCTTTGTTTTCTCTGGTCTGTATTTTCCTGGTAACGCTAGTATTGTGGATTTCTTTAGAATAGCTTGCCCTTTATAAGATGAATTTCATTTCCTTCCTTTACCGTTAGTGTTAGTTAAACCTGCCACGTGTACTGTTGTTTCAACAGTACCGTCTCATCTAACAAGATGCCATAAACTTTAGCTTAAATGAAGTTAATTTTTATATCCCGCACCCATAAAGTGAATTTGAAAGGGACGCGTACTGCTGAATGATGTATTTTGATCAACGTCAATTGCTATGCACTGCCAAATTATTCATGTATCTTAACAAAGTCTGAAATCTCACTCGTGTTCGATTAACGTCTGCTCCGAGGATTTGTACATGTACTTTGAACTGCCCCTGGCAATTAGTAGTATTGTACTGCTATTCTACAGAATTTTGTTCGAAAATGGGAATTCAGAGCTGCAAATAACTTCTCGTCCTTAACTGTTATTCTGTCTAAAAATGGTGACATTGTTGTTTGTGATAGAATTTCATTTTTGCTCAGTATTCAGTAAGATTTCCTTACAGCCTCATGCATATGCTATGGATGCAGCAATCTCACACAAATAGTTTTACATATTTTGAATATGGTTGAAAGATGATAAATGTACAGGGCTGATGGGATATCTTACCAACCTTTCTTGTTGTGTTATGTTTAGTTTGAATTATCATTGTATATGACAACACAGACAGTAGAATCCTTATATCTATCCAACACTTGGTTTCTTAACACTCTTTTAAAATATGTTTACTACAGAACAAAGTCATCTACACAAGCAGGGTGTTTAATATCTGTTGGTGAATCAACAGATAAATACTAAAAAACACTAAGGGTTTTGATTGACATGATAAAACATTAACCCAACTGTTCAGATCGTGTAATGTGGAAAAACATGTGTTCATTCATTATTTATGCAGTATCTCCTAGCTGTCAATCACAAGCTTTTCCAAAAACCAGAAGTAGAGGCACCATTAACTATATAAATAGGAAGCAATTGACCAGTTACTGGCATGGTCAATTTCAGCATGTTTCTTTACATTAAATTATTGTGTAAATTTTCTATGTTTCACAACTTATTATTCTCTTTGTTTGGAAGCATATTTTAGTCCAGTTAGTTTCAAATTATTATAATGGACTAAGCAACATGTTTTCTTTGTGAATAATGAGGAAAGTTAATTCAAAATAGCTTTTTTTCATAGTGAGGACTACTCAGAGGGTGAATGTGTTATCATCCATGAAATTTATGATTCTGAGGATGCACATGAACAGTTTGAAGCAGATTTGGAACGAGCATTGGAAAATCAATGCAAGATGATCGCCATTGAGCCAACGGCAATCGGAGAAGAGACAGCTAGGTGGATCCAAGTAGGAAATTGTTTACACAAGACCGCTGTTATTGCTGGACTTGGTTGTTTTGTTAGCCCATGGGTTTTGCCCAAAGCTCTTAAAGAACCCATCAGCTTGGTCTGTGGTGGAATTAGCTTCTTCTGTGCTGCTTTGTATGGAGTCTCATGGCAGTTTGATCCATGCTGCAAATATCAAGTTGAACATGACACTAAGAAGTTGGCAAAATTGCCACTTGGAAGCCTCACATCCTCATCGCCAATTGTTCTTGTCAGAAAAGATGATAAATATCGCAAAAGACTTCAGAACTTGGTAGCTGGCTCAGCTTTCATTTACTGCAGCTGGAAGGTTTATGTGTGGTATTTTGATTGATGTGGCCTATTTCTCGTGTTCCTGTGTGCGAATCAAATATTGGAAACCTTGGATAAACACATAACAAACAGTGTTGCTAAGGTCAGGACATGTTACAGGAGCCAATCAGGCCGTCACTATGGTTGAATGTGGGGATTTATTGAACCAAGATTATTTTATAAGGCAGTGTATCTCAAATTCAATAAGTTGTTTAACATCTGTGTCATCCTTCAACAAGATAGAAACATTACATTTTTTGCTCACCTTTTCACTTCCAATCTAAGCCTTGATCTCTTTTGCCTAGTCAAAATAGTTTACAGTTGTGGCAAAGATAACCAGAGAAGCATGTAGCAAAGGACTAAACATGTGTGGATTTTATTTAATTTTATTATGCCCAAGTGTCAAGTAGGCAAAAAATTTTCCACGGCAAGCAGTAATGGCTGCCAATGCATTTACTGGTCTGCACTTACACATAAAAGATCTGTTGTGGCTACTTACTGGTACATATGAAAGAAGACTGTACAATCCTAGCGCAAGGAGCATCTTAGAATCACCTTATTTAATATGTAAACAGCCAGTTTCCAAGCCAAAGTTTAGAACCACAGTCAAACCATTTTTACTTCAATCTAATAGTGGCTGAAGTAGAAATTCACAAAAATTTCCAATTTTCTTCGTGTGAAAAGCCCAAGAAATGTAACTAAACATTACTTTGCAAAAGTTCTTCCGAAAAAGTTTTGAGTGGATACACCATAGGATTTTACTCACAGATTCAAGTTAGAATGACAAATCATTTCACAAGAACTTGATCTAGGAGTGAAAGGGTTTATTAAAATCATTGCAATGTAATCATCTGTTAGCTTACATTTACTGGAGAAACAGAAATGACTCACTTTCTTGTTTCAAGTACATATTGATGAGCCAGGACTGTTCATTAAGAATTTCAGGGAGAATATGTTTTAAAAACCAGGCTTGGTACAGAGTCTTGTATTCTTGAAAAAGTCTTGAAATTTGCCTAGACCTGGATAAATCGGGAAATTGAGAGGTAAAGTCTGAAAAAAAAATCGTGATAAGTAGTGAGTTTTTTTTTTCAAAGCTACAACAACTACTTTTTAAGGTAACTAATGTTCTTGTTCTGGTCAAATCTTATTCAATCTTGTCCATAGGTTTGCAGGGAACCATGAAAAAAGCTTTGTTTTTAAGGACTCTATTGATCACCTATTTATTAACCTTGAGTCTGGAAAAAGGAATTATTGTTTGAAGAAAAGTCTGGAAAAAGTCTTGAATTTTGGATCCAAAAATCTGTGCAAACACTGTAAAATCAATCACTTGTTTCATTCATCTAATTGAACAGTAATAAATTATTACGAGAATAAACTCAGTAGCACAGCAAAATCAAAACACACACACACACACACACAAAAAAACAACACTTTTTAAGAAGACGGATTTCACATTCAGCAGTATCCACCGTCAGTTCAAGGATGACTACAAAATAAATATAAGCAACATATAATTACCACATTGCCACTATGTCTTTAAGGTTCTAGAACTGACGATGGATACTGTATCCAAAATGTGTCTTCAAAATTTTGATGTTGTTTCATATACTTTCTTTGAGTCAAGATAAACACAGTAGAACCTCCATGTATGACCACTGCTCATACACAATCACCTCCCATGTGACTGCCAATCATAAACCACCATAATTTTCCAGTCAACGCCCTATAGTTAGAACCTCCCATACCATACAACCACCTCTCGTAAGCATGCAACCACAATCACTTTTTGGGATGACAGTTTTATATTTTTCAATGTTTTTAACCTCTTGTTAGCAACCATGGTCTGATCTGATATAATAGCTCATAATAACAATATTATTCTTTGCTACTCAGAGTCTTTGGTTAACATTAATTTAGTTCCCACATGGAAACCACATACTGGTAATAATAACTTTAAAATTGCTGACAACAACTTTTTAGCCTGGGCCACAGACGAAACAAAACTCTGGTTAAGTTCGTCTGTTAAACACTGCCAAAATCCTTGTTCTGGGCCCCTGACCTGTGTAGTAGGATTTGAATACGCACCATGATTGGCCTGTTAAAAAAGCCTTAATTTATCAAATTGCCAATCAGGATGAAAGGAAATTTGAAACGCACCTCTGATAATTCGTTGAATCCGTCAGGGGCCCAGAACAAAGATCTCGGCGCTGCTTTGCAGACGTTACTATAAAGTACACATAAATGTATCGAAACCTTTACTCAGAAGTAACCCATGGTTTGATTCTCTTAAGTGACTGCCCTCCCCCCCACCACCCCCACAAGGGACCTCTAAACCTTTGTATTAAGGGTGGTCTCTTACAGAGGTTTAACTGTATATCAACATTATGCATGCTAGTCATTATTTATCAGAGTCACAGACTGAGGGCACTTAACAAAAGTTGGGACTGGCTCGTCGAACGGGGCGTTTTACTGGATTTATAAAGCCATCAGAGTCAAGAGTTGGGCGGGACATGATCAGCAATAGTTTTATTGTTCTTGGAAGTGGAAAGGTAAAGAAAGAAATTTAGTGAGATGAGAAAAACACTCTTCAAGATCAGCAGGATTCAGAAGAGGTACCCTTCCTCATCTTGAAAATTATGATGCCAATCAATAGAATCAAAAACTTGCATAATATTTACAAAAAAATTTCATGACCATTGGTGTTATATTTTATCTTGCAAGAATTCACGGGTTAATAATAAACAATCGCTTGGGTTTTTTTAAAAAAGTTTGTAGCTTGCACAACAGAGTTGAATGATATTACATGTAGCATTGTATGGAGTGTCACATGCTAAATAGTTTACTGAAAATGATTTTAAGAATTTGTAAATAAAAAATGAATTTTTGATGTTTCATTTTATAATTTGCCTGTAGTTTACTCCAATAGATAGTACCCTGCTCCAGAATCCAAGATAAGGAAAGCAGATCGAGAAAAAGTGCGTGAAAACCTTGGGGAATTGGGGAGAGACGGGTTCTTTCGTGTATACCAGCTCGTGGTATACCCTATGATTGCTCAATTTTTGTGTTAACCAGAATTGCCTGGCTTCGCTTATGCAGAGACACACAGGGCATTTGATATTTTAACATTTGTCATTTTGACACAAGAAACATTTTTTCTTGATGTGGGCGGGGTAGCAGGAGGACTGGGGTATTTGTAAAGATCAATACTTGCAGGGTCTCCGTGTCTATCTTCCCGCTGTGTCACTTTCTTGCCCGCCCACTTTTTTCACTCATCTGCACTGACCAAGAGCCTGGCACAGGTCAATAAAGAGAGATTCAGTTGGACCACTTCATCTTCTTCTTCTCTTATGAAAAATATTAATGCTAGCGGGTTTTCCTATCCTTTAACTTCTCCTACAGGCTGAGTATAAATTACAAGAGTTTGAGAAGAAATCCTGTTAACAAAAAACTTGAATGAAATTTCATTTTAAACATAAACTGAGGGGAAAATTGGGGGAGCAGGCTTTTTATCTAATTAGTATGAGAACTGCTCCTCCCCCTTCTCCCCATAGTGTGGCCTGGATTCAAGTCGTGTTGATGCCATATCTGTGTAGAGTTTGTTATTGGTTTACTTCTCTGTTCCCACGAGATATTTGTCCAGGTACAACAGTTTTCCTCTCTACCCAGCCACCAACGTGCCCAAGTCTTCAATCCTGGGAAGGTGTTTTCAATTGTTTGTTAGTGGGGACGCATGGAAAGCCATAGGTTTATTAGGTCTTGATACTGCCAAGTATAATCCTCTCTCGATAAAGTTAGTTTTACTTAGTTTCTCTTTAATTTTTTAGATAAAGTGAAAGAGGTTAGGGCAGGATAAGGAGTAGAGGAGGATGAAACAAGATCCAACAGATCAATTACCATTCCATCTTGCATTGACATTTAACTGCTCTTATATTTAATACATTTTGAACAAATAGTATTTATCAATTCCACTTGCCTTAAAATAGCTTGAGATGTTAAGATCTATTACTATCTGTTATGGATTGTCACGGAAAAAAGTTCAAAAAGAAACTTCCTTGAACAAATAAACCCACTTTATAACAATCAGTTGACCAAATTAACTACAAAGAAGGCACTTTTGAAATATTTATTTTAAATAAAATTAATGTTTTCACAAGGCATTCAATGCCAAACTGTTAAAATGGCTTTGCCACTTAATTAATTTGCTCTTGCCCTGATAATCAGCCAGCTTATCAGGCTTCATTCAATTCATCTATACAAAGTTACTTGTTCGGGCCTCTGACAAGAAAAAATTATATAAGATAAAAAAAAAAATTCATAAAAATAAGTATAGCCATGGTAACAGGTTTACTATCTTGGAGGATTTAAACTGTACTGTACTGTATTTGGGCCATCGATTTTTTCATATGCAATATTCAAGAAACTTTTAAAAAAAATTAACCAAGACAACTGCTACAGATTTCTCTATAATGACTTACGGCCAGCGCTAGTAGCAAAAAAGTAACAATAAAACTGTTTCCCATATCAATATTATTACAAGTCTTCCAGCTGAAAACAAAATAGACTAAATCTTGTCTTTACCCATGAACAGGTAATATTAATAACCACTATTATTTCATATTTCTAGGAAAACTAAAAGAATAATAATTATTATTACTTTCTCTTTTCAATTGCCTTTTTTCATTTTTTACAATAATTTTCTTGCTTTTCAGCTTTTCAAACACTTGTTCCATAGAAATCTTTCTAACTTTTCCTATATGTAAGGAGAGATCTTCGGAAATAAAACTGACAGAATAGACAAGATCCAGTCCCTCCTCTGTCTCTCTTATCACAGGCTCAGACATGAGACGGGGTGAAAACCGCAAACAAGGTGTCAGCTTGCCATCACCCTTGAAGTTGAACAGACTTCCATATTCCATTGCATCTGCAAGATAAAATGATGCAAAAAAGTTGCAAAATGTCTGCCAACAGTAATACCTACTTTGTGGCTACAGAATTTATAAGAACAATATGTCCTCGCTCCTGTGTTAACATAAATTGATTACGTGATTCCTATACAGTCATGTACTATATTAAAATGGAAGACAACACCATCCCATGTTTGATCGAAAACCATGTTAACATGGCACAGGACAAATTTTCAACCAGCTGAAAACTTTGATCAGACACTTTGTTCACACAGAACAATTCAATATTAAATGGGAAGAGATGCAAGCATAGGCAAACTTCTAACATAAAGTACAGTTGAACATATATTTAAGGCATATTCATGTCGCAGCCCTGCAATGGTAGGCTCGATTTCCACAGTCTCCCGAGTCGGGTCTCTGATGCTGAACCACAGCTGGTAATCGAGCCTGCTGCAATGGGGGAAAAAACTGGTCTAGAGATAAACTCTTTACAAAATAATATTCACAGAATCCTACTAGAAAATTGAAAACAAAAGTATAGCCTTACTGCAGTAAAGCAGATCAAAACAATGGCCAGTCTTGGGCCAATGACAGGCCAAGATGACCATTATTTTGCCACACAAACTATCACTTTGCCAGTCGTTTTGACCAGACATGTATTTTAATAAGGGACCAAAAATGTTCACACTTGTCACTATGTTTCAAGGGGACAAGTATCTTCTTTCACATTATGTTTTTGGTGGTTAGGCTAGTTTGTTCAAGTTACTGTGTTATTTTCAACATTTGACCAGTCAGAAGAGAGACATGACCCAGCTAAAATTTCTTTGGCTGGTCAACACAACTGGCAAAAAAACAGTCCCAAATAAAATGAGCCCCGTACTGACATCACAAGCAATAATTATCTTATCCATATTAAATCATTCATAATGAACTAACAAAAGAAATTACTGTGTTGCACAAAATTTTTGTAGGTTCTAATTTTTGGGATTTTTGCGATTTTTCCAGCGATCCACAAAAATACATTTCCACAAATAAAAATTACCGCAAACACTTTTCCCGCAAAAATTTACTCCAGAGTGAATATTCTCTAACTTAAATTCGCTACACAAAAATACAGTACTAAGAAATTGTGTCTGTTCAATCACAACTTATCTCTTTCATTCAGAGACAAAATGGTTTACAACGAAATACTGGTTTAGTTTTTGAAAATATGTATTATTGCACGTACTCAACAAAAACGAAAATATTATCAATGCTACAGGGTAGGTACTGGGTACTTTCTGAAAATCACAAATTTAAGTAATTCCCAGCAAGAAAAACCAATCTGTTCTAATTGCAAAAATTAGTTCCCGCAAAACACAAAAAATCGCCGATCCGCAAAAATAAACTCCCGCAAAAATTTCCTGCCACACGGTAATGTTTAATGAGTGTCTTTATATGTGATAAAGACATGGCTAAACTTTACATCCAATTTTTTAGACCAAAACCATCCCAGATCTAAATATTAGACGAGTGCAAGAATAAGTTGATCTATACCAGAGATTTCAAAGCTGTTAAAAAAAAAATAGGAGGAGTGTATTATCAGGTGTAAAAACTCTTGGCTTCGCCTCAAGTTTTGAAGCCTGTTAAATACACTCCTGCTCATTTTTTAAACAGTACGAAAAGCACCAAATCATCCTATGTACATTAACTGCTTGCAAAAATTGTCGATGAAAAAGATGAACAAATCTGGACTATCATCTTTGACCTTTTAATTACTTCTCATGACAAGTGACATTACACAAGTAAATAAATTTAGAATTTAAACTTGTTCAAGATTATAATCATAGTTACAATGATTATAAACTGTGTTTTTAATCCTTACCTAAGTAAAGTGGTTTTTCTTCTGTAATCTCAGCAATGTGCTGTCCTCCAGGACTAGCTCTTAGCAACAGCAGAGCCACATAAGTATCTGCATCATCATCAGAACCCTGGGTACACTGTAATGACCCCTGTACAGATCTCTTGTGATAGGATGGCTTTTTGACTGGTTCTGGCACAGAGTTCTCCTTTTCGTCACTTTCTGTTAGAAGTGGACTGTTTTGCATCATATCACTCATTGATGCTTCTTGGACATCAGCCTCTATGTTTTCTACTGTTGACTCAAAAGGGTTCTTTGGAATGGAGTGAACTCTTGGAACAAAAGCATTAGCTGCCACCTCATGATTCATTCTTAAGGTGTCATCATTGTCATGATTAGAAAACTTCATTTCTTTCTTTTGAATAGCTGCTAAGATGTCATTTTTGGCTTTACCTCTCACTGAGATATCTTCACTGTTTTGACTGCCATGTGAGGCCCCAGTTTTCCTCTGCAGGCTAGATAAGATCTCAGGTTTATTTGAAGCACTGGGTAAGATTTTATCATTCTTTTGACTGTGTTTTTGAATCACAACTTTCTTTTCATGGTTTCCTGTTGGCTCATGATCTCTTCCGGTGGTAAGGTCACTTAGCTCCCACTCTAGTTCACTTCTGTCAAAGTCTGGATCTGCCATGACATCAAACCTCTCTTTTTGAGGATTGACCTCTGCTACAGTGACAGGAAAAGCTGGTTTCTTATTGTAGACTCTCTCAAGGAAAACATGGAGCTCTTTCTCCAACACATTGTCAACTTTGTCTTGTATATCTTTGTCAAAAAATGTTTTCTGGGAAAGTGGCAAACTGTAAGTATCATCCTCCAGTCCAAGATCAGGTTCATTAAATGCTTCACCATCATCATTGCCATCATCATAATCATCATCAGAATCAACATCTTCCTCCTCGACCTCGTCATCATCATTATCATCATCATAATGAAAAAAATTGTGAAGATACTTCCATTCAGAAAAAGCAGCATGGTCTGACTCAGAAATCACATCATCATCAACGTGGCGCTTACGTCTTGGCATCTTATCGTGTTTTTCGTGTCCATCAGCACTTCTACTGCCATTATTCTGGTCATCAAAACTCTCTTCTTGGATTTGGCTCACCGCTTGTTCTTTAGGAATCAGCACCTTAGACTCTACCTTTGGCAGCCATATCACAAAAGCCTGTGGCATGCCAAGGACACTAGGAACAGGGACTGGTGCCACAGGCAGACCACTCTTGCTGTGAAATATCCAGCTTAGTTTTCCTGTTGGACCATCAATGACCAGCAGTGAAGAGGAATGGTTAGCATATTCAATGAACACAACAACATCTGAAGAGTTCTCTTTAGATAGGTGCTGGGATTGCAATAACCTGAAAATTAAACCATAGAAAATTCATAAAACAGTACTTACTACATACAGATGAGAAGGTGGAATACGATTGTCCAGGTGAGTGTAGTCCTAAATAGGATTTACCTTTTCAATTTCCACTATTTTTCTGTTTTTGTTGTTTGTGAAACGGTAAAATCAAGATCTCTTAAATCATCCGCCAAGTTTCGTTTTGTAGCACCTTGACGAACAGTCTCAGTAAAAAGATTCTCTGTAGCTTTACGGGAATGGGATAATATCCTACAATATTACGATGGGCCAACATCTTTAAACTGGCTTTTTCAGCATTGAAGCAGTCTGAAAAGACATTCTTCAACAAACACACGACTTTGAGTGTCATTTAAATGTTGTAAAATGCTTAAGCCAATTACACAAGCAATTTATACCTCCAATATCATTGGTCCAATTTAATTGGTAATGCGAACCCAGAGGAGATAATGATGAGGAGTTGACTCAATAAACATTTATTTTTATTTTTATTTCTCGCTCTCTGCACTTGTTCCCGCGCTTCAAGCTCGCTCTCACGCACTTGCAGATGTTTTCGAAAAGAATGAGAAGAAAATAAAACAACGTCCATGTACAGGCTAGGTTAAACTATACTGCCCAAAGACAAGATCAAATTCTGGACCATTCTGACCAGATCAATTATTTTTAATTATCAATAAATACATCAAGCTTCTTGATTACTAAGGGGTTATCATGTCTTAACATCAATAATTTACTATTATTACCGGTACTAATATAAATATTATGATTGTTGTAACTATAATTTCGCTTACTTATGAATAGAACCGTCTGATGGTAAGGCTGTCTTCCACATCACTGTCAGATCACTTCCATTCCTGGCCAGAAGAGAAGTACCATTTTCTCTTATAAGAAATACAATATCTTTCACACTATCACCATCAAGGTCTGTTAGTAAAGGTTGCACCAGTACGAGTGAATCTTTTATAATGGAAATAAAACCACTCTCCGGATCAGGCTGATGCTTTCCCCATGATTCACCTGAAAACTCCTTCGTCGGATCTCTCACTTTCTCTGATAAGTCATGTAAAGACATCGCCCATAATGATGAATTCTTTTTCTCCTTCGAGACTGAGCCAACAATTACAAACTGATGTGCAGTTGATGGAGTGTAAATTGCAAGGACACTGCTACCATCATGACCTTGTGGTAACGGTAACGAACTTCCAATGGCATTTCCTGTTTTTCCAGATAATAAGTTAATGTCACCTTCTGTACCATCATTTTTTTTCTCATCTACGAATACAATGTCTCTCGTGTTGTCCCCATTGACATCATTAGCAAATTCAAATGATGAAATTTTCTCACTTGATGGTGACTTAGACTGCCATTTGGCAGTTCCATTACTCACATTGAAGAGAAGAAGTTTAATTTTCTCTTCAGGCAACAAGCAATGTCTGTTACTGCTTTGACCATCAGACATTCTTTCACAAGCTAGTAGCCCAAAAGATGAATTGCGGCTAAGAATCCAGAGGGTGTTCCCACATGAGCCATCTATGGCCAAAACACCACTTCCATAGCAATTTTTACTCTTACAAAGCCTGTTCAGGAATGAAGAATTCACGGACTCTTTTTCCTCTATTTCAAACTCGACTAAAATGTCTGTCCTACCATCTCCTGTCACATCAACCAAAGAAATTCTCCCTGGGGTAATGCCACTAAATTTCTCAGTCCAGTTAATAGATGACAGATCTCTTGTGCCGGGACAAGATGGCAATTTCTGGCACTTTGGTTTATGACACGGTAGCAAGAAAGCAAAGGCAAATACTGTGAATACACAGAGAAGAAGAGCGCCAACAAAAGCAATGCGGCGTTTCATTGAGAGCGGTTCTTTATCGTGGGATCCCGTCTGCTCGCTGTCCGATGGAGGATTTTCTTTGATATCATCGGAGGATCCGCTTTCTTCTGTGTCTCCATCATTTTCAAGATCGTCAGCTGCCTGTCCGATCAAAGGCCTTGAGATGGTCGTTGAAGACATTTAGCCTAACTGACTTGTACTTCTGAAAACTCGCTATGCTCTTCGATCATCAAGTGTTCCCAAATTGACCTGTCAAGCTAACAACAGCTGATCGAGAAATCGCCGACGCAAACAGTTCCTTTGGCAGCTTGTGATAAAATCAACGAGTCAGCCTTTCACTTGATGAATCGACGAAATTTGATATGTATCCTCGATCAGAAAAAAAAACTAGAGATCGACTCAAATCCCCGGCTGAAATCACAGCTCAGCAATATTATTCAACTTCCCAGCCAGCCGATGAAACTTTATATTTGACGCATTAATTTTGCGATTAGATTAATAAACAAACTCCTTGAAACAGCTGTTCAGTTCCCCGGCACTTGGTTAATTGCTTCGCGAAACAACATAGGTAGTTATTTTCCCCATTCGAGTCAAATTTTCAATTTATGCATATAGAATTGAGCAATCTTCTTTTTCACAAAGACGCAAGCTCACGCAGTCTGCTTTTTTCTCAGTTTCAAAGGGAACTGCTTCCATTTGACGTCACTCGGTTAGATTTGTCCTTTAGAACCACTGCGTTTTCATTATGTCCTTTATCAGCCTTTTGTGGACTCACTATCACATGGTATCAGGGGTAAGCCATCTGCCGTAACTCACGTTGAAATCAGCCATATTTACTAATAAAAGTCAAGTAGGGAAGGGTCATGTTGCTAATTTATGTCCTTAGCGGGGATAGGACAGTGGAGGATTGGTTGTGGTTACAAGTCACAAGACTAGAGTCGAGATTGTTGGAGTTCGTGAAGAATCCAACAACCTGGCCATGTATATTAAAAGCAGTCCTACTCATGAATGAACGGCAAGTCGAGAAAAAACGTCGGGAAAAAAGTCGAGAAAAACATCGAAAAAAAGTCGGGGAAAAAACCTATAAAAGGGGGCAACTCGAGAAGGGAAAAATCGAGCACGAAATTTACATGGCACTAACTGGGCTCCGTAGTACTGTCCTGATGATAATAAGATACTTTGATATTAAAGGTCTTAATTTTTTTGTCTTAATTTTTATCAGTTTTGGTAGTGTAAGCGTTTCAGGTGTGGCCATGGCCACCCATTTCTGAAGTCTTGTGTTGCTCCTCCACCCGAACGTATTTGCTGCAACTTCGTCCCCAGGGCGCTTTCCCCTAGCTATTTTTCCCCAAACAGAGAGCCTGTTCACAGGCTAGCTTTCCCCTGGCTTTGGAGGTCCAACCTCCAAAGTCAGGGAAAAGCGCCCTGGGGACGAGGTTATTTTTGCTAGCCACTCAGGGCCTGTTTAAACGGTGGTTTAACTCGTTTAGGTGGGGTAAGTACCCGCCTGTCTATAATCTCTATTTCAAATTTGACTGCGTTTACATGATAGGTGAGGTAACCCGCCAAGGGAGCCGGCAGCCTCGTCTGGTGGTAGAGCTGTATTTATCATGAATTCAAATATATATTTGAGCGAAAGTTACTGGACTGCCAGAAAGTTGCTAAAAAAATCAGCCAAATATCCAAAAAGTTGCTACCTAACGTATATTTCTTGATATTTCAAAGATAAACGTCAATTAAAAGCCTTATTCTACGTTCTTCAGAAAAAGTGTTAACATCGGTCGAGGAAAATAGCTTGAAACTTTTATGAGTTGCTCGAAATGGGCGAAACCACAGGTTGCCGTTCATTGACTCGACTGCTATGCTATGCTGATGAGCCCCAATAAGAGCGAAACAGCTGTCCTTAACAGCCACTGCCTGGGCGATATGTCTGTACACATGCGTGACTGTACTGGTCAGTAGGTAGGTTGGTGTATGTGTGCTCTTTGCTTTTGTCTCGCTGTACTTCTTACTTATTATTATCGAAATGTACATTGTTTCACTTTTGAACTTTACTTTCAGGTTGATTAACACTCACGAACTTCGCATAACTTAAAGTTTTCTGTGAAATCGTTGACTTTTTCGTGTTTGATATGTGCTCTAAGCCTATCATAGTTTTGCTCAAAAATTTCCCAGAAAAACAAAAGTTGCTCGAGGTTGCTACTAAACCGCAAAGAGTCGCTCGAAAGTTGCCGAGCACAATCGGGACAGGGCTACCAGCAGCCGGCCCCCCTAGAATACTCTTAAGCTCTTTATTTACTGGAATCAGGAGCCGTAATCGGGGTAAAAGACCGTAAGTGGATACCTTTTCCAGTAATAGGGTTGCTTCTACCGAAATAGCCAATGCAAATGTGCTATTTCCAGCACAAATTGTGCCGTCTTGAGTGACACGCGCGCGAAATTTTTTGCCAATCATGGCGCGTACTCAAATCCTGCTACACAGGTGCGGACAAGAGCCCGGTGCAAGGATTTCGGCACTACGCATTACTCGGTTCATTTAATTTCATATCTTACCCAGCCTTTCCTTTTTTTATTTGCACTTTTTGTTTTTTTTCACAGTTTAAAACATGAAAAAAAAAGTAAAATAAAAAACACCATTCATTACATGTTCGTCTTTTACTGACCTGTAACTAGATACAGTTGACTCCCAATAACTCGAACCCCCGCTAACTGGAGACAAAATCGATTTCTCCTGGATTTCCTTCATTTTTTTTTTTTTTTCATACATGCCAACTCTCCCGCATTGTCCGGGAGTCACGACCGTTTCCACCAATCTTTCGTATGGGTAATCAAATCTCCCGGATAAAATCAAGTTATGAGCTTTTCTGTGCTTTAATTTGGAAGTTACCCCATTTTCTTCCAAAATTCGAATTTCCTTTGATTCATAGTTTGGTTTCTGGGGCGTTTTTGCACGTACTTAATCACTGACAAAGATTATCACAAAAGTGAATTGTGATTGTCTGTATATCATGTAAGACCACACATAATGTCCTAGGCCATTCCCATGTGATAAATTAGGGACTGGATCGAATCGAATTACGCTTATCGGGGGCTCAGGGTAGGGGTAGAGGGGGAGCAACACCAGGCCAGGATCGGTGATCTGATTCTCTATCAGATCCAGTGTGGTTAGTCGGCAGGTTGATTGTTTTAGTGCTTCACTCAGACTAGCAACACCAACATCGGTGACCAGATTACTAAACATACTTTGGTGGAATGGACTAGTAGATCCAACCTGCAAATGCACTGTATGCATTCGTCGTTCAAACCACAATTCGCTAGTGTTAGTTCGGTGACGGCGCAGACGTTTGACCCTAAAAAAGGCAAATCCGTTTGACTCCAGAAAGTGTCAGTGATGATTTCCAGATAGAAAGAATTTTTAGACAGATGGATGGTTGTTCAGATAACGCTTGGTCACAGGAAAAAATAACGGATTCCCATTTTTGGATATTTTGGGGTATTTAAAGAATACCCAAATATATCCAAAAATGGGAATCCGTTATTTTTTCCTGTGGGTTCGGGTAAGTATTTTTGTTCACTAACTTTGAGTTCATATGAGTCTGTACACTGCCCTTGAAAGAAGTCAATAAAGCGACATGTACGACCAGTATATTTAAGTAGCCTGTTCTCTGATTTACACCACTATTCTACTAACTACAAAATACATAAATATAACTATAAAACAGGTTATACAAAGTACAGATAATGTTAGTGGAAAGTTTAAGGGCAATGTGAACAAACTCTGATGAAAAACGTGGATACTTAAAAACAATAAAATCAAAATATTCAATGTATTTACATATTCAGGGAGTTTAACAAGGGTTGGCATCAAGGTGGGTGGAGACCTTGCGCCTGAATGCTTTTGTATCCTTAATAGATATTGTGTCTTTAGAGAGGGTGTTAAATCGAGCCTCTGAAAGCTAAGGAGTGCTGACCTGTAGCCAGTCTTCATTGTGGTAGGTCAAGACCAGAGTCATTTCTAGTAGACCTTCCGCTAACGTTAAGGCTATGTCCACGCTATATCGGATAGATTTTGTACCAGCACGAAAATCATACCGGATAGGGCTTCTGCTCACACACAAGAACGGTGATAAGGCGGCGCGATTTCTATAAGGGAGAGAAGATGCGCCGCGCTGATCTCTAAAGTGGAGAGTCACGTATTGGATAGGTGTTAACACTGTACTGGATAACTTTTCATGTGGACACGAAAAGCTATCCAGTATAGTATTAACATGGCCTAAATCTGCATTTGAATAAATTAGATAAAGTGGTGCTAAATAATTTAAACATTAGAATAAGGAAAGAAAACAAAAGATTTCTGCAGTGTCCTTGTAAATTTAAACCGCTAATCTTAAGTCAGAAGATCAAGTACACTTCCTTACGAGCGGAACCAGCATCCTCATCGGTGATGTGATTATCACTGGGATCCAGCAGACCACACACAAATACATGACAACCTGATTGTTTGAGTACTTCAATTATACTAGCAGCTCTAGCATCTGTGATCTGATTTTGAAATAGATTTAGCTCTTTTAGTTGAGATGATGGTTGTTTTAGTGCTTCACTCAGACTGGCAGCTCCATCATCAGTGATCTGATTATTACTCAGAAACAGATTGGTTAGTTGACAGTTCGATTGTTTTAGTGCTTCACTCAGACTAGCAGCACCAGCATCTGTGATCTTATTTGCTCCCAAATGTAGTTCAATTAGGTGACAGGTTGATTGTTTTAGTGCTTCACTCAGACTAGCAACACCAGCATCGGTGATCTGATTAGAACCCAGATTTAGTATGGTTAGTTGACAGGTTGATTGTTTTAGTGCTTCACTCAGACTAGCAACACCAGCATCGGTGATCTGATTAGAACTCAGATCTAGTGCGGTTAGTTGATAGGTTGATTGTTTTAGTGCTTCACCCAGATTGGCAGCACCAGCATTGGTGATATGATTATTAGCAAGACATAGTGAAATTAGTTGAGAGGTTGATTGTTTTAATGCTTCACTGTTAGCTTTACTTAGCCTAGAAGCACCAGCGTCGGAGATCTGATTACCACTCAGATCAAGTGTGAATGGTTTAGTAAACACGAATCCGCAAATGCATTGTATGCATTTGTCGTTTAGACCACATTTTACCAGTGACAGATTGCCGGAGAAGCCAGTGACATTTGACTGTAGAAAACAGCAAATCCGTCCTACTTTTGAGGGTGTTAGCGATGAATCCATGACTGTAAGACCCCTAAAACAGTTGGATGGTTGTTGTTGGTTTGACTGAGAAGTTTCGTCTTCATTAAGTGAACTAAAGACGTCAAGCAAAAATAAGAAGTCAGTAATGTCCACATCATTCAAGCAAGATAACACAATCTTTTTATCATGACCAGCATTGCTCAAGTGTTTTTTGGCATACTCTTTGTTTTGATATTCATTGAGGCACTTTGCTTGTAACAGATAACTCTCATTGTCAAAAAATGTAATATTCTTCATCAATTCATCCATGAGGACGCTATCTTCCCTCTTTGAGAGAATGCCAGTTATGAACTGAAATACCACTGTGGACACTGTTCCATACGAGGGAATCGTCTTTTCTTTGACAAACCAACGAGCTGCTAGATACTCGTGAAGAGTTAGGTGACTAAAACAAAAATATTTTGTTTTTTCAGAAAAGGACACATTAAAAGGAGGACCACAATGAAGAAGACCGCTTATTCTCAACGTTTTAACAATTTCTTCTGAAGTCAGCCTTTTCATTTCCTCTTCCTCGAAAAGATACATTCCCTTTAAAAGCGAATCAGCCGCAAACTTTGAGAGCATATCCAGTGTGCTTTCTCTGCGGATGAAGTTGGGAATTTTCTTTTCGATGTGATTTGTTGTAAAAATATTTAGCACCTCATCATACAGCTGACTCACTGAAACAGGAAGATCTTCGAGCCTTTTTGATTTCTTAAGAATGTATTCGAAGTAAGAACACATGAGGGCGCAAAGTACAGGAATGTGAGCTAAACTGACAAGATTCTCGTTCTTCGTGATGTGTTCGAGTACAGTTCCTTTGAGGCTTTCGTTTTGTCGGAAGTACCTTTCGATATATTCCGTCACCTGTTGTTCAGAAAATCCTGTAACTTCTGCAATTCGATCGAATTCAATTTTACTCAGCTTGTCAGATTCATCAGATCTTGACGTGATCATGATAGTTGCCTGTTTTAAGATTTTCTTTCTCATTAGTTTGGAACAAAGTGCGGCTATCTTCATTTTCCGTTCAGAGCAATTCGGATATTCTTCATGGTAGTCACCGGCAATATAATCTTGTCCTTGCTTAGAATACTCGTCAAAACCGTCAATAATAATCAAGACCTCCTCGGAATGATCGAGGATATATTCCAAAGGAAACGTATCCATATTGCTGCGTAGGCATTGGTCATCCAAAAAGGAACAGCGCTCTAAAATTTCTTTCAAAGTCAATTCCTCGTCAACAAGTAAATTCAAGTTCCTGAATGTTAACAAATACGCAAACTTAAAATCGGGCAATTGCAGATCCGTTTGTGTCTGAAATAATCTATTATCAGCCCAGTCTCGAAGCAGCTTTTGGCAAAAGAGAGTTTTCCCAATCCCCGCTTTTCCAGTGACAAGAATAGATTTAAGATTACCATCATCGTTTGTAGAGCGAATAAATATTTCACTACATTGTTCGATTCGTCTGCCGCTTACTTGACCGTAACGAGTTAAGCGATTACTTCTGTCAACATTCTCGTCATCTTCAACGGCCTTTCGTCCATGTTGAATAAGAAGATTAGTGAATATGTCATCCGTTCTCATGCAAGAAATAGAGGGTGCCTGATCAAACAGTTTGCGCTGAAATTCCGTTTGTTCCTTGGCTGACGCTTTCATTGCCACTGAATAGCTATTCACCGCTGAGAAAAAGATAAAAAGCAGCGAGTTAAAAAAGCACCATTTTGGAAAACGTCGAAGTAGTCGATGAAAGAACAACCCTGGCCTAGGAACCAAAAGAACACGAGGCCCTTGATATATATATATCAGTGGCAGATCCAAGGGAGTTGCAGGGGGGGCCCGCCCCCTCCTTATTTTTAGACCAAAATGAGGCCCGAAGGGCCGAAAATAATTTATTTTTGAGACCCGGCCCCCTCTTTATCCCAGGGTCTGGATGACCCCTCCCCCCCCGCCCCCTTGAAGGTCTGGATCCGCCACTGTATTACACAAATATTTAGATTCCTCTTCCAGCCATTAATTTTCACCGTCAAGTGTAATGATTCTGTTAGCTTTTCTTTCTTGTTTCCTTGTTTTCTTTTTTCTTCGTTAAGGACCAAATAGCTTCTTTTCAATTAAAGCAAATCGTTGTGTTTTTGAACTAAGTGTTCCGTGTGTGTATTTATTTCATTGCGTGATTGCGACCGAGTTTGATTATGGATCATGCCTGTATCATGCATGATGCAGACATTTCCAAACGATATTTCTTGGTTTTTCACTTGTTTCTAAACTTTTTGCATAAACAAAAGAAGAGGAGTAGTGACGTGACTGAACAGCATTTAACGGCCGGTCGATTCAGACGTTACCGAGGGAGTAATAACGACACGAAGTAATCGGATGAAATTCAGGCAAATTTTGTAGATACGTGGCCTAAACTGTGAAGTATGAAAAAGCCAAGGGAGTGCATCAATTACGTACTTTGTTTAAAAAACTGCGGACAAACTTTGCTCCCCTTACAGCCAATGTACAGCAGCCCCCTTCTTGATTTTGTTTGAGGGGAGGGGGCGGCTGTGCACGGGTTAATCGTCCTAATCGCTTTTATAGTGGCCAATTAAAAAAAAAAAGAAATTGTATCCATATTTGATATCTAATTCTTGAAAACCGAACGTATCCCCTACGTCATCCCTACAATACCCCAGAAATAAACTGACAAAGAGCAATGTAACGAGTTTACCTCTTTCCTTGCAATATCGAATTAAAGTTCGCTGAAACTGGTTCATTTTCCCAACTTATCTAAATGCCCTCACCTCTTAAAGTAACCCTTTCCGCATTTCCATCTTCCCTTTCAAAAATATCTCCAAGGAGATGTTCTGGCAATGGCTGTCCTGTTCGTCTCGTTACTCCTAAGTGAATAAGGGTCAATAAACAGAATACAATAGAAATTGCCATAATGACAATGATAGCAATGTTTAGTTTTGATTTCTCTTTGTATCGTAAGTCATTGCATGTCATATTAACTGGCCTTTGGTTAAATGAAGTGAGCGTCATGTTTGTCTGAAAGCATTTGTACTCTGAAGGAAGGTGAATGGTCTGGTAGGCACAGAACAGCCCCATCATGACACTGAGAACAACAAGCTGAGCGCAAACGTGATAAACGAATCTCCCCATGAACGTTTTCCACTGGTTTGTTTTCCCTTGTTCACTTCGCTCTCTGTGAATCCGTCGTAGAGTCATGGCACCCATAAGTGTAAAAAACAACCAGAGAAATCCTAGCACACCATAGTTCATACCAGCAAAATCCAATGGAGTCAAACCTGGACTCACAGCAGAAGTGTAGTTGTCATAACAACGTTGTCTAGTAAAGTCGTTTGGTTTGGGGATACAGTTAAATGTCAGCCTGTCCTTGTCATGGTAGTCTTTCAGGAAACCAATCACAAATGGCCAGGAGAACAAAAAGAACAAGAAATGACATGCACCAAGTATGGTCTGAGACCTGAGGCCGAGTTGATATAAATTATCCATTGTAGACGAACGTCGAGAACTGAAAACGAGATAAAAGCCATTAAAAACTGATAAGTTATGAATTTTATCCGTAAAAAAATCAAACATTTAACTATTAAGACCTGCAGTTATCGCCAGTTGTTGCCTTACTCGAGTGCCTGGACTGGATATCGCTAAACTGTGCTAGGAAAGGCCATAGCTACGTCGTCCTCAAAAACTGGTTGTTGCAGCAACTTAAGACATCTGTCGCTCCAGTCCATTTGTAAAGTTGTACCAGCCGTTGACTGGTAAAGGGTTTGTCAACTCGGATGGTCCTGGTCGCAATTTAATAGCCTGCATGACAGGTGCTTCATGAGCCAAGCGAGGCGAACGCGGCACTTTGCGCGAAACGCGAGACGAGCACGAATCGCAAATCGAATTTTTCTTCTCCCCTCGTCTCGCGCTTCGCGCAAAATGCCGCGTTCGCTTCGCTTGGCTAAGAAAACACCTGTCATGCAGACTACTATTTAAAGGCACTTGGTCGAATAGGGGCGTCACATTGTAGGGAACAATGTTTTACTTTATCTATGGAAAGAGTGCAAATTTCGAACGCAAAGAAAATATATTGGTAGAGCGGAAATCTTTTAAGGAAGTGCACAGGGACTTGAAATATTCTTCGTTATAATGGGAGTACGTCATATCGGGGTACTGCTAAAGAAAGTGATTCAAATTCGTTATAGTTGCGACTAGAATTTGGATGCCCCGAAATTAGGTTGTCATTTGTCACTAAACGCGAAAACATTCTTAGTATATAAGGGAACGACAAAAAAAATACATTAAAAAAAAAATTCCGGTAACTAATGCTTGAACTCACATCATTTTATTAATAGTATACATCCACATCCTTAAATTATTAAGAGCTAACTGCGGACACCGGTTATTTGCTAACCTACTTTACATGCATGTCATTGCTACATTATTTGAAAGATAACCACTTTTAGGGTAGTACTTAGCCATAATCACTGCACTTCATTGCTATACCTTCTACCTAACTAACTATCTCTGTTTTTCTTGAATGAGCCTGACTTTAAAACTGTTCTCTACCAGGAGTATTGCACTGTGTAATTATTATCAGGTGTCCAGCATGCATGAGTTTGGGGTGTCCACTCTAATCACTACACATTTGTTACACCGGGGTGTCATTTTATTATGGGATCGTCTGGAATCGGAGTGTCACTGTATCGTGTAATTAATGAGCGTCCTCGTCTTCTCTCTATAAAAACTGCCTATTCTTTTTCTTTACGTTTCATTTTCTGGAAAAGCTCACTTGACTTGGCACGGATGGCCATAAATAGATAGATGCATAGTTTATTTGCCCACATGATGCTTAAGAGCATTTGGCATTTTTTTTGGCATTAGTTTACATTGCGAATATTGAAAAAGATAAAAACTTCAGTATTGAACAACTGTAAGCAATGTAAATATAGCACCGCATTCCTGTTATAGTAATCAGCTCTATATAAATGCACTCTTGTTCGCGGCTCAGTAAATATCCACACCACTTGCGACCTCCACTTTAGCCTGCAACAGCTCTCACGCAACTTTGCGTGAAGACAATGAAAACGGCTGTCTAGCACATTATTTGTTTCTGCAGGTTAGGAAAAGTTTGTACTTTACTTTCAATAAAACTTTGCCCTATTGTACGAGCAACACTCTCCAATTTCTAAATACATGTCGTTTGTTTTCATGCCGTCATTTACGAGGCAGGGTTTATACAGGGTTCTTTAAACTAAAACGTCGCTTGTTCATTGGATGCGTCTGCATGTAGGCGAAGATATTAAAGAGGTAAGCATCGCGTTTCACGGCAAACGGCAAACGTGAATTTGTAACACATGAACATGCCAAGTTTCCCCTTTATTTGTCGTTTACTGCTCGTTATAACTACACGAAAATCGGTAGATTCACGTCAATTCTAACCATAAGAATTGTTTTAAGCTGTTTTAATCAGCTCATTTCTCATTTCGAACGCGAAAATTCCTCAACTTGAATCTCCGTTCCTCTCTAATATTTGATATTCACAGTCAAAAATCATACTGATGAATCATCGTGTCTGGTTATTGGAAAGAAAAGAAGCCAACAACGAGTAATGACAACATAAGCGCCGCTAGCCACGAATGCACGTAATGGCGCAGTCAACCTCGAAGTCAATTAACAACTCGGCACCGGAGTCAGAGCCTGAAAAATATCACTAAACGACAGCGTTCGTTCAGTAGGAACAGCGCAGCCCTTTTAAACTACATTTTAAGACGTCATAACTCTTGCAACATCGCAGTTACAGACACGATGATTTTTCATGGAAAATTATTGGTATTGATCATCCTTGATCATTTTGTCTTGAACGGCGGCTTTCAAGGCTGATTTTCAACACTGTACTTACCTAATGCAATTTTTCTTTAACAGAAGTTCATATCAAGTCCAGAGAATAGCTTTGAGAAGGATAAAGAGCGGAAGAGACAAAACAATCGAATCTGAAACGATGTTGTGTTGAACAATGAAGGGTGTGAGTATTCAGCACTGAATGGAATGTAATCTCATCGGATCTTGTGCCGATATATCT